CGTAAAACCAAACTCACTCACTCACGTCGGCAACGCCCCAAATCCATGCGAATCTAAACTTGTGTTAATTAATATTACGGCTTATTCATCGTTGATGTTTCGCCGATCTTACAATGTGATCTTGTTTATGCCTCAAGTAGATAACGATAGCTTAATTTAACGTTGTTTGGGGAAAGGGTTCATCTGTCTCCACATATAAACTATCTATCGGAGACGTTCCAAAGGCCTTGATGATAAATGCAATCTTGGTTTGTTTTCTTTTTGTCAAATTGCTTTTCAAGCTCCACCATAAATGACCGTAAGTTTAGATAGGATAAGTGCTCTGTAGAGTTGAAGGAGGGTTTTCTGATCCCATTTGAAATTGAAACTACTTTTAACAAATCCATTACATTCAGGTAGTTGGTAATTAAAGGTCAAGTTATGATCAATTACAATAACAAGAAACTTGGCCTTTGATAGGAGCTCCATCCAGTACTAATTCTGGGTCGTAATGTGGCTGATATTTCCTGCCAAAATGAATTCTGTTGGTCAACTGGGCATTTTATATAAGCAGGATTGTTAAATAATTAGAATCCTACAACCCACTCGGCAATTTATAGATCTTCGTTATATGGAAACGATTTTACACTGTTGTTAAACAGCGATTTCAAACAAATAATATGTATAAATGGAATTATAGTATCATTAGTAACGCAACGAAGAAATTTTAATAACCTTCTTCATCTATTTTTATGTTTCTGACATGTGCTTCCCCTATTGACAGGGCATATCCTATCAACATGTAACTGCGCTCATGTATTTTAGATAGAAAGAAAGGATCCTGTTCAGGCAGTCATCGGTCGTCTACAAACCGCAATGAAACGTCCAGAAGCATGACCTTATAAGATAGTCATACCAATCTGAAACCACAAAGTCATGATAAAGAAGCAGAACAGTGAGTTTTCATATCATATCCAAAGTTGTTCACTTCTTTGCGAGAGTACTTTGCGTGTTTTTCAGGTGAACACTTGACCTGCCTTTGCATGCGTTTGTCCCAGGGCGGGAGGCACTTTTCACGAACCCCCTGCATCATCATCCTTTGGTGGTGGTTCTTGTGCATATGAACAACTAATAGTCGTTATCATAGCATCAATTGTGTTACTGGGACAAATGTTCAACAGAAAGGCTTCTGTTGCTTATGGTTCCAGCAACGTAAACCTCTGTCTAGTATTTCCCTATATTCGTTGTACTGGATTCTTCCGTTCTAATTTCCCATGGTGGATCTCATCACGATATGGCTGAAATATTGCCAGTGTGACGATAAATATTAACTCACTCACTCCTACGGCTGATCAGACGTCAACGACATATAATGTATATGTAATATGCATTGCATCATAACAGGGTTTATTTATGCTGAATATTGTTTCTGAAACTACCACATCTGTTTGGAATGATAAAATATTTTCTTTTGAATATATGGTCAATCATGTATCGATATGCATATGTTTCAAACATTTGCTGACAGAGTGTGTATGTTCGGCAGGTTCGTTTACCATGAACCCATTAGCCTTTGAATTGCCAGTGAAAGGAGGAAGGAATTAATTATGTATACAACTGTAACATAAGAAAGTATATTAAACTACATTAACGCATGCATAATGCATTCACCAATAGAACACAAAGGTCTCATCTCTTGGACATTTCTCAAAAAAGAGTCACATAAAAGCAATCCATAGTGCAATTAAAACTAATGCTTTTTGGTGGAACACGGTCTGGAACAGCTAAACGTTAACGTCTCCTAACTTAGGGTAAGCCGCCATCTGTATATCTTATAATGAGGGTTCTTACATTCATTTTTATTTACACCTAATTGCCGTGTTCTTGTTTGCCATATTTCCAGGTATAACTATACTAGGCGCATAAAGAAACTGTGCATACAAAATGTAAAATCTAAATTTATCAAACCTGTGTAGACACATAAGGATTTAAACTCAGAGATTAGTGACATGTATCCAGCATGCATGCACGTGCCACGTTCCGTGACGTCAGTGGGTTCGTCTTGAGACGTGCAATACGTTGTTGCACGTGCATTCCGGAAAGAGAAACAGAGCAAATGAATGCCACACAATACTGTCACTTTGGAAAGCTCAACCCCTGCCCTTGCAATCGTTCAAAAATTAAACGGCTATTGAAACGTATAGCATGCCAAGGCTCACGTCTGCACAACGTCATGAGGCCATTGGGATGGTCCGTGGGGAACTTTATCCGACGTCAAACTTCTCAATTGCTCTCGAGCGTACTAAATGAGACGTATAAGATTGACTTCACGTCGGCAGCAGGGGGCGGTGGGGTAGCCTGGTGGTTAAAGCGTTCGCTCGTCACGCCGAAGACCCGGGTTCGAATCCCCACATGGGTGCATTGTGTGAAGCTCATTTCTGGTGTCCCCGCCGTGATATTGCTGGAATATTGCTAAAAGCGGCGTAAAACCAAACTCACTCACTCACGTCGGCAACGCCCCAAATCCATGCGAATCTAAACTTGTGTTAATTAATATTACGGCTTATTCATCGTTGATGTTTCGCCGATCTTACAATGTGATCTTGTTTATGCCTCAAGTAGATAACGATAGCTTAATTTAACGTTGTTTGGGGAAAGGGTTCATCTGTCTCCACATATAAACTATCTATCGGAGACGTTCCAAAGGCCTTGATGATAAATGCAATCTTGGTTTGTTTTCTTTTTGTCAAATTGCTTTTCAAGCTCCACCATAAATGACCGTAAGTTTAGATAGGATAAGTGCTCTGTAGAGTTGAAGGAGGGTTTTCTGATCCCATTTGAAATTGAAACTACTTTTAACAAATCCATTACATTCAGGTAGTTGGTAATTAAAGGTCAAGTTATGATCAATTACAATAACAAGAAACTTGGCCTTTGATAGGAGCTCCATCCAGTACTAATTCTGGGTCGTAATGTGGCTGATATTTCCTGCCAAAATGAATTCTGTTGGTCAACTGGGCATTTTATATAAGCAGGATTGTTAAATAATTAGAATCCTACAACCCACTCGGCAATTTATAGATCTTCGTTATATGGAAACGATTTTACACTGTTGTTAAACAGCGATTTCAAACAAATAATATGTATAAATGGAATTATAGTATCATTAGTAACGCAACGAAGAAATTTTAATAACCTTCTTCATCTATTTTTATGTTTCTGACATGTGCTTCCCCTATTGACAGGGCATATCCTATCAACATGTAACTGCGCTCATGTATTTTAGATAGAAAGAAAGGATCCTGTTCAGGCAGTCATCGGTCGTCTACAAACCGCAATGAAACGTCCAGAAGCATGACCTTATAAGATAGTCATACCAATCTGAAACCACAAAGTCATGATAAAGAAGCAGAACAGTGAGTTTTCATATCATATCCAAAGTTGTTCACTTCTTTGCGAGTACTTTGCGTGTTTTTCAGGTGAACACTTGACCTGCCTTTGCATGCGTTTGTCCCAGGGCGGGAGGCACTTTTCACGAACCCTGCATCATCATCCTTTGGTGGTGGTTCTTGTGCATATGAACAACTAATAGTCGTTATCATAGCATCAATTGTGTTACTGGGACAAATGTTCAACAGAAAGGCTTCTGTTGCTTATGGTTCCAGCAACGTAAACCTCTGTCTAGTATTTCCCTATATTCGTTGTACTGGATTCTTCCGTTCTAATTTCCCATGGTGGATCTCATCACGATATGGCTGAAATATTGCCAGTGTGACGATAAATATTAACTCACTCACTCCTACGGCTGATCAGACGTCAACGACATATAATGTATATGTAATATGCATTGCATCATAACGGGGTTTATTTATGCTGAATATTGTTTCTGAAACTACCACATCTGTTTGGAATGATAAAATATTTTCTTTTTGAATATATGGTCAATCATGTATCGATATGCATATGTTTCAAACATTTGCTGACAGAGTGTGTATGTTCGGCAGGTTCGTTTTACCATGAACCCATTAGCCTTTGAATTGCCAGTGAAAGGAGGAAGGAATTAATTATGTATACAACTGTAACATAAGAAAGTATATTAAACTACATTAACGCATGCATAATGCATTCACCAATAGAACACAAAGGTCTCATCTCTTGGACATTTCTCAAAAAGAGTCACATAAAAGCAATCCATAGTGCATTTAAAACTAATGCTTTTGGTGGAACACGGTCTGGAACAGCTAAACGTTAACGTCTCCTATCTTAGGGTAAGCCGCCATCTGTATATCTTATAATGAGGGTTCTTACATTCATTTTATTTACACCTAATTGCCGTGTTCTTGTTTGCCATATTTCCAGGTATAACTATACTAGGCACATAAAGAAACTGTGCATACAAAAATTTAAAATCTAAATTTATCAAACCTGTGTAGACACATAAGGATTTAAACTCAGAGATTAGTGACATGTATCCAGCATGCATGCACGTGCCACGTTCCGTGACGTCAGTGGGTTCGTCCTTGAGACGTGCAATACGTTGTTGCACGTGCATTCCGGGAAAGAGAAACAGAGCAAATGAATGCCACACAATACTGTCACTTTGGAAAGCTCAACCCCTGCCCTTGCAATCGTTCAAAAAATTAAACGGCTATTGAAACGCATAGCATGCCAAGGCTCACGTCTGCACAACGTCATGAGGCCATTGGGATGGTCCGTGGGGGAATGTCTCAACGACAAGTGGCTGCACATTTCCACTGCCACCGGAACACCACCATTTCTGCACTGATGAGACGCTACCAGAACACAAATGACGTCATCGATCGGCCACGTTCTGACGTCCACGTGTAACAACGCCAAGACATGCCCTCGACGGTCACTTCCACTTTGATAATCTTGGGGTTCCAATATTTTTCGTTGCCTCTTCCAAACGGCAGAAATTCTTCCACCGGCAGGATCAAAATGCCCTTCATCGATCGCGCGGGCACAGTCATATTGATATTCCACAATGTGTCTCTCTTGTTCACGACGATCTTCCGGTGTCGCAGTACGCGATCGTACAGGATGGCTGCGTCCCCGAATACTGGTTGCGAATTTGTCGAGCCAAGTCCGGATTCGTGACCTTGTCGAACTCCAACGAAATATTGTTGATGGTGTAGCTGCCTCCCTCGCCGCTCTCTGTAACAATTACAAGCGTTGAACATCAGTTCGTATTCAAGCCTATCACCCAGAGTGTCTTGGTAAAATGGCATGTGCCCCTCCAGTAACTCGAAGTCGAGCGGGATGCAACATCGGTTCCCGAATGCCTTGGCGACGGCCTCGTGTTTATTCACCATCGCAGCAAGTTCGGCCTGTTCGAAACAGTACCCCACCACGTTAGCTGAACAGCTTAAAATGTTATTCAGAGAACAAGGGGGTTACCATTGCCAGCATTCTAAAGGCTTTGGGTTTCATCGTATCGACCCTGGTCCTAGCGCTGACAGGTGGCAGTGGAAGCAAACCACCAAGCCCAACACCACCACCCAAGAAAGATGGCGACGTCAGAGACCGGGTAAAAAAACAGTTGAAATCGCTCGGGGAAGCCCTGGCGAGACTGGCCGTCAAAGTCGCCGAAGCCCTGCCCGGCATTTTGGGCAGCATCGTGTCCTGGTTGCTGGGCTCATTGTCAAAAACAGTCACGTGGCTCGGCCAGAACCTGTGGGCGGTCGCCGCTAAAGAATTGGGAGCATCACGATCCCCGTTTCGCCGGTATGCATGGGCGGTGGGACACAACTCACGTTGACATCGGGGTTGACGCCCAACTTTTGATCGGCGGTTGCGATGACGATTTCGTTGTTGTAGCCCACCACTTTTGGGATCCTCCGTCGCATGTCGTTCGAAGGCATGTACAGTCCCACGCAGAACACGTAGTCGACTTTTGACCAGGCGTATTATCCACCGGTCTGCGCATCTTAGGCCGTCCCTTGACCGGACGATGTCGGAACGGGTTTTGCTGACGGAGCGCCCGACACGTACGTCCGAATCAAATCGTTCAGTCTGACAACACTGGGACGAGTAAACCCTTCGATGTATCCAACATATATACTTTCCAATCGTCTTCAGCATATTGAGGCTGCTCCACCTTTGAAGGGTGAAAGCAACACTGCCTTTAAAATTCATACGATCATCTCGCCATTCATTACTCGCAGCCAACCACTTTTCAGTAAACCATCACTGACTTCTTTCACGGATTTCGCTCCACTGTACGGCATACCCAACCCGTGGTTCGTACCCAGTATACGCCAATCGGCATCGATTTCGAATTCACCACAAATCCGTTCATAACCTCGCCGATCGTATGGATTGTTCGATGCATCCGACGCCTTGTCCTGTGGCATCGGGCGATGATCTCTTTGAGGATGCGTCTGATCTGGTAATACAGGTGAAAATAAAAACGGCCTGACTCCAGCGCATCCCGACACGTGTTGTTCAAGATGACACAGCACCCCGTCGTCGCACATGCCGAAATTGAATTGATTCTGCCAGAACTGCCTTTACGTTCGCGACCGAAAGCCTATACTTTTCAAATACATCAATAAATCGAGCTCGAAAGTGGGAACCCTCCTTCACATCCACCACGATCTTCATGTGTGTGAGATCTGTAGCACTTAAATTATCGATTTTAGGATAAAACACTCCGGTGTATACTTGGGTGTAGAAACATTTAATGTATATTATAATGTCTTGTATATGTGTAATATGTTCGTTACGCTCCCAGGAATCACGAGTGGCGAGCCCCGTTCAACTGCTACACATAATAATCGATAACACGTCGGCACGACTCGAAGTTTCTCTCTGCGATCTCACCTACTACCCACGTTGGTTGAATATCAGTCAACATCAAGGGAAGAACAGGCTATTCATCGATGGCAAACGCCACGATTTGTCCAACGGTTATTACAGCGTTTGTATGTTGAACGACGAAATTTTCAAACCCATTGGAGCCCATATCAAACTCAACGAATCGAATGGCACGCTGACGTTGACGGCTGGGGAAAACCCATCCGACTCGGTAAAGCCTTGGCAAGAACGCTCGGGTTGACGTCGAACGAAATACGACCTCGAGACCGTCACGGGTTCCAAATTACCGAACTGGTCTATCACGACCTGTTCGTTCATCTCGATCGGGCAAGCAAGGCGAACACCCTTCCACGCTGCTAAGAGCCGTGCCCATCAAAACGGAAAAGTGCAACGACGGTCGAACCAAATCGTTTTCGACCCTGCAGTACAAAAAGTTAACGCAGGGCATGATCACGGAATTGAAACTATCCATTTTAGATATAAAACATAAACCAATGCATATCGGCTATCTAAGCGCCACGCTGCACGTAAAACAATGACTCAAGTTTCGGGCCCTGGAACAACCATGCGTGTGAGAAAATGCGCCAGCCTAGTGATCTCCGACCTCGGGGACACGCGCGTCTTCGACGAACCCGGGGTCGAAGGCAAAATATACGGTTTAGAATTAAGAAACAACACTTACAGGTGAGTGGAAGTCCGCAGTGGTGGTGGTGGTAACCTAGGAGATTTAGACGATGTCATCACCAGAGGGCTCAAGAAAAACACCCAGTACACTCTCGTCCTCAACCACAATAACAAATGGGTTATGGTCCCGGCATTCGATGGCAAGCTAGGTGATTTAGACAATGTCGAGACCCAAGGTCTCTTAAAAACATGTTGCACCAGTTCGTCCTAGCTGATGATAACCAGTGGACGTTGACCAGAGTGTTTGCACACTACAAGGAGCAGTTGATGTTGCAGAAAGGTATGAGTCTGTATTGGGCGGACCAAACTGTCGGACCACTCACAGGTTTGTGAAAGCCACTGCATACACACGACCTGCGGAGAAGAAAGTACATTTTGAGTCGCCGGATAGAACTGAGGATAAACTTAATGTGTTTTAGAAACAGCTGGCAGACTTACAAAAACTGTTGACAGATTGTCTCAAATGCAAGAAATTGGTAGTTCAAAGGGACAAAACAGTTCAATGAGTCCAAACTCCTTATGGCAGTCCAGGGCGTACCCAAGATAGGGGCATGCGCAGCGCTCAGAGTCCATCTAGGCATGACAAGAGAGCATATTCATTTTGTTCAATCTGTCATAGACCAGGACATTGGACATCACAGTGTGTGAGTCAGTCAACTGGTAGAGCAAATACGCAGCATGCTGCGCAGGGAAATGCCAACCCGCCATCTCGGACTTAGGTCGGGATTTGGCGGATGACAATGTTACATTGAATCCTAAGTTAACAGACTCAAGTGGTCAGCTGGAATAGGAGGTGATTGCAGCAGAGGCGCAACCACAGAATTCTCTCACAGCTGATTCTCAGCAAGTTATTGCAATGATGAGACCTTTGTTTTAAAATAGGCGATGAAGGTCAGTTAGTGAATATCAAACTGGATAATACTTTTACGTTATTTCGTTAGTGGATACTGGTAGCCAAGTGTCTTTGATATCTCCGAGATCTTACAAGCGTCTTCCTCGTTCTGTTTCACTGAGTACTATTACTATGTCCTTGGAGGCCGTTAATGGAACCTCATTTCCTGTAAAGAGAATATTCAAGGCATTGTTGACTTTAAGTGAAGACATGGAACCTACGCAGGAAGAATTTCTTGCAGCTGAGATTGAGAACTCGTTCAAAGTTGATGGTATTTTGGGAATGGACATACTCACTGATCTAGGTGCTGTAGTTGATCTTGCAGATCACAGGATCAAGTTACAGGGAGTTTGGTTACCTACTTTTGCAGCTGACAGAACTGCAGTAGTAGCTGAAGATACCTTGCTTCCAACACAGTCAGTGTCTTATGTTAAACTGTCATTACCCAATAATCAACAGAACAATAATGTTCTTGTAGAGCCATGTAAGGAGATTTTAGCACAATGTGGTCTTCTCACGAGTAACAGTGTTGTGAAAAGGGCTAATGCAGCAGATGTTAAACTCATTAATGTGACGAACAACCCAATTACTCTGGCTTCTAGTAGAATTTTGGCTCAATGTCAAGGTGTTACTTTGTCCTCAAACAAAAACATCAAAGAGAATTACAAAACATCAGGTAAAAATGCAGTGATTCCTGATTATCTGAAAGATCTGTATGACAGAAGTAAATCTAATCTTGATGAATCTCAACAGGAGGAATTGAAAAATGTCCTTGGTAGTTATCAGAGTACTTTTGCTAAGAATGATGATTTGTACACTATCAATACAGGTGATGCGCAACCAATTAAGCAGGCTCCTAGACGCCAGGCACTTGCAAAACGTGAAGTAGAGCAAAAAAGAAGTTGCTCGAATGTTGGAGCAAGATGTGATTACACCTTACTACTAGTCCATGGGCTTCACCAACTGTTTTAGTACAACGCAGTGATGGCCGTTACAGATTTTGTTGTGACTACCGGTTGTTGAATCTTTCCAACTAAAAAGATTCATACCCTCTACCGAGAATAGAAGACTGTATTGATAGTTTAATTAAGGCTGTAAAGAATGGCCTACACCAAAATGTCGAAAATATGTTTGAAGGTTTTGGGGTTTGGCAAACTACTACAGGCGGTTTGTTCAAAACTTTTCTAAAATTGCAAGACCCTTAACCAGACTTACTAGTGAACTAGTTGAGTTTCAGTGGAGTGAAGAAGCAGAAGAAGCTTTTATGAGCTTAAAAGTCGTTCTCATTTCCGCTCAGATTCTTGGTTTTCCTCAACCAGATGGCCAAGTTATCATTGACACTGATGCTTCAGGTGAAGGACTCGGCGCAGTGTTATCACAAGTACAGGAAGGTGGGGAAGTTGTTCTGGGATATCTCAGTAAGACTCTCTCTGCAGCTGAGAGGAACTACTGTGTTACCCGACGTGAACTTCTTGCGGTGGTGACTGCTTGCCAGTATTGGCATCCATATGTATTTGGACGGCCTGTCATTATTAGAACTGATAATTCTGCTGTGGTTTGGGCCAAGCGGATTAAGAAACCTGTAAATCAGATGGCCAGGTGGTTGCAAGAGCTAAGCAATTATGACCTACAGGAGATTCATAGACCAGGGCGCATTCATTGGAATGCGGATGCCTTAAGTCGTCGACCTTGTGTACCATGTCCTCAATGCAAACAGGAAAATAGACCTTGCAGCAAACAATGCGCTGGTCTTGATTCATCTCCAAGCTTTTTGTGTTGCAGTGACTAGGTCCAAGTTGGTAGAGGCAGGGAGTATGATCAAAGCTGTTCATTATGAACAACTGTCGCCCGAAGAATTGAAAACAGTTAGCGGATAATGATATTGCACTCATCTACATAGCTAGAGCTAATAATATCAAGCCGCAGTGGAAGGAAGTGTCTGGAACTTCAAATGCTTGCAAGGCTCTGTGGGAACAATATGATCGATTAGACAAGGGGTACTCCATATGAGATGGGAGAACAAAGATGGCAGACGATGGCACTGGCAGGTTGTCATGACAACTTGTAAACGTCGCCTTTTCCTCACCCAGAATCATGATTTTCCATTAGGAGGCCACCTAGGGGTGGAGAAAACTCTCCAAAAAAAATCCAACAGTCGTATTATTGGATTGACATGAAAAGAGACATTAGACAACACTGTACTAAGTGTGACAAGTGTACTGCTCGGAAACGACAATCGAAACAGAGAGCACCCATGAAGCAGTATGTAACTGGCTCACCTATGGAGCGATTAACAACTGATATTATGGGACCGCTCGATCGTACACAGTCTGGTAACAAGTACATCTTGTGGTTACTGATGCATTCGCTGAATGGACAGAGGCTTACCCCATTCCAAATATTGAGGCGAGAACAGTAGCGAAGAAGATAGTGGAAGAGTGGGTTTGTCGCTTTGGTACACCTGCACTGATACACAGTGACCAGGGCAGACAGTATGAGGCTACTCTCTTCCAAGAACTATGTAAGTTGCTTGGCATTGTGAAGACAAGGACAACAGCTCTGCAACCGCAAGCCAATGGCCAGGTTTAGCGTTTTAACCGTACCTTGAGTGCCATGCTCTGCATATATGCAAATGGGAAACCTAAATCATGGGACAAACATCTTCCGTATGTCATGGCAGCTTACAGATCTTCTAGACACGAGTCTACTGGGTTTACGCCAAATGAACTTACACTGGGCAGAGAAGTACGATTACCAGTCCAACTGATTACTGGGAATCCTAATGAAACGGCTCAGAAACATGATGAGTATGTTAAGGAATTAAGGGAAAGGTTTGAATTTGCCTTTGAGTCTGCTCGTCGTTGCCTTACAAATTCTTCAGAAATAAGGAAGAAAAGGTACGATGTGGGAACAAAAGAGTATCGGCTCAAAGTTGGACAACCAGTGTGGTTATTTAATCCTGGGAAGAATCTCCCATCCAGTAGGAAGTTCATTCCTTGCTGGAAGAAGAGATGGGTTGTCATCAAACAGATTGATGATTTGACTTACGGGATACAAAATGGTACAAATAACACCTTGTGTTGTCCATGCTGAGAGACTTCTGCCTTATGAGGGAGATGCTCCTCAAACATGGTGGACTTCTCAATAATTCTCACAAGTTGATAGCGTACCGTTATTTCCCATCAATCTGAAAACAATTACTTATTTCCCTATATGCTTTTGTTTTGCGAGAGTTGAATGTTGCAGTTACATTGTGGATGTAACATACCCAAATGAGATCTAAGGAAGGTTTTAGCATGGAAACTGAATGTAAAACGACTTATCTTTTAAATGGTGAAGATTTAAAATTTGGGCTTGCTGTAAGCTTTTTAATCTATTTACTAGGTATGGTTGTTAGGTGTGGATTTTACTCTTGTTCTCTCTACGGAGGCTGATGAAGGATCATAATTCATGAGAGTATCTAGAATAAAGAAAAGGTGATAAGCACTTTTATAAGTTGCAACATATCTAATGTGAGTGTTACTTACTTCTTTGCAGTCGCAACAATGGCTGACATTTTAGATCTTGGAGTGGAAGAAGATGAGGTGATGGATTTGGTGAAGGAAGAAAGGGGGGGTGAAGGAGGGGGCGCCAGGGATGAAGTTCGTAAAGTTCCTTCCATCGCCAGCGGCTGAGGGGATGGTGTAAATCCAGCTAGGGCTCATGCAGGTAGCAAAATTAATGTAAGTCCCCATGATCCCTAGTATGGTGATCTACCTTCAGTTGTTGGCGATCTATAGCCCGATTTTATATTGTGATGTTTTGAAATGATTTAACATTTTACACTGAACTCAAACAAGTTTTAATCCAATTGTGATATTCTAGTCGTTACACTGCCCTTCGCTGGCAGGTTTTTAAATTAGTATACATATGTTTATTCTTAGTACATAACTTTTTGTCGTCACAATATGGCTGAAATATTGCCGATGTGACGTTAAATATTAACTCACTCACTCACTCGTAAAGTTCATCCCGAACATGGACTGCCCTGCCTGTCTGGTTACAAAGACGTTCCCATCAAGACGTACTGTGTTTGAAGAGCACTGGGCGCAGACGCACCAAAGGGTGCACAAGACATTTGCATGCCCTGTTAAGAGGTGCAAGAGCTCACGTTCCTCAATGAAAGCTCTAAAATATCATGTAGCCCATTCCCATGTCAATTCAAATGTCATCACTTACAATGTTGACAAACTGTGTGCTGAGGTGACCGTGGAGGTGGAAAGAAACGAGAATTTCTTTGACCCTGGGGTCTACTGTTTATAATGGCAAACATGGCGACCCCGGGGCAAGAGGGCGGGCAAGAAGGGGAAAGCAGCGAAGTCCTCAACCTCTTGCTCTGCCCTGTCTGCTCACGAGCCACAGGCTGTTCATCAAGAACCAACTGAATCAGATAAATCCACACCTATACCAACTGTGTCTGATCTGCAGATGGAAATTGCAGCTCTTCGGGAGCGCAACACTATCCTGCAACAGGCCCTTGCTACTCGGCCTGGGGCGCAGTGGCCATCCTGCCAAGACATCCCAACTAACAGGCCCCATCTGGATGAATTCATCGCCAAAGGCTGAGAGGCGATGGCGGTGCTGCAGTCAGCTGAGGGGAGGCGTTTTCAGCAACAGTTGGACCAGCGTCGCGCAGCTGATGCTTTTATTAGAAGCATGTCTCAGGGCAGTGGCAGCCAACGGGCATAGGATAAATGAGACAAGTGAGTGAGTGACTTTAGTTTTACGCCACACTCAGCAATATTCGAGCAATATGGTGGCGGTCTGTACATAATCGGGTCTGGACCAGACAATCCAGTGATCAACAGCATGAGCATCGATCTGCACAATTGGGAACCGATGACATGTGTCAACCAAGTCAGCAAGCCTGACCACCCGATCCCGTTAGTTGCCTCTTACGACAAGCATGGGTTACTGAAGGTTCGTTCTAAACAGGGCCTTCATGGGTAAAATGAGACAAGGGGTGCATACTGTGTCTCAGTGTGGAGAATTTCAATTTTTGTTCATTTTCTCTGATGTTCTTATCACATTTCTTTTCGTCTTCTTATCTTTTCTCTTTTGATTTCCTGGAGATGTGTTCTTGTGTCGCCGATTCATGTGGGAAACCGACGGCACCATGAACTGGAAAGTACAGAGCAGGAGCAATTCAAGGACTAATGAACTGTGTTTGCAGGACAAGAGTGTTTTTGAAAGATGAAGAACTGTGTAGTACAGACTGATGATGGACAATATGTTCATGGAACATACTTACCAGTATTGGGTTACCTCATTGTGACATTTAAAATGAGAGGTGATCTATATTTTCTTGGATATATATTCATATTCATTGGATATGTGTAAGTATATGAAATGTGCACAAGAATTAACACAAGGTAAGGAATTATTAATGTATGTACATGATAGTATGTAACATGTATTTATCTGAAATGCATAATTGTATTGTTTGAATTGTATTGTTATGCAACAAAACCAGGTTCGTTTTTTATGCTCACCTTGTAACTGTAAGGGCAAACTGCAAGAGAGAAAGAACAAATAGGATTATATAGCTGTATTAATGTAAATATGTTAACTCGGGACGAGTCTTCTTTCAGAAACGGGGCTATTGTAATAGTCAGGTTGTAAACGATCGAGGACTTTGTATTTTTATCACGCTTCCGAGATTGTGTTCATCTTTGTTAACTTCTCAAAACGTGATTACATCTTATTACATACATGTATTGTGTGAAAAAACAATGTATATTGTAGTTACAAGTTCATATTAATGTAATTTGTCGTAAGATTTAATGGTTATGATTCGCTCCAGAGATATGCTCGAATTGTCCCGCGATCTCCAGGCGATTACGTCATCAAAACATGTATTGTTGATTCAGAGATTGTTTATACTTTAAATCTGCTAAAATATAAATGGATCTTTAAAAAGTACTTACACAGGCGTGTTCCTGGACGTGGTAACTGGTAAACTATATCCGTTTAATTTAATGTCTCGTCTTATTTGGATGTTAGATCGCATTCTTCTCGCTCTAACGTTCGGCGTCTTCTGCTACATGCATTACCGGAAGTTCGATGATGTCATATAGCATATTCTCGTTCGAAAGCAGTTAGAGAGACAACAGACTCAACGTAAGTTGTAGTGTTTTGGGGCCGAGATATTTTTTAGGAAATTTTGCATTATTAGAGTTTTATATTTGAATTACTAATAACTACAGTGCTGCATTCTTGGCTCTGCCTTTGCGCACAGAAGTTATTCTTGTGAAATTGAAAATTTGGAAGTTATAGGAATAAAAGATCTACAGTACTCTGAACTGTCATAACGGACAAGTCGGTAAACTAGCAAAGTTTTATTCACTCTTGCAGTTGCCTACCCTTGAATTGCTATTGTCATCTGTAAAATAAATAACAAAAACAGCGAGTAAAGATTCACTGACTTTTTTTATTTGTTATAATTTTCTTTTAATCCGTTTTTACATATCTTCAAAACTGACGGTTGGGATGGGACATAAAATATATCCTGACTACCACGTTCCTTACCCCCAACCCGTTACACTTTCCATTGGCTAAACTGAATTGTCTCTTTGTGTATAATTGGTCGATTCCCTTATCACTATTCCTGATCAATATTTCGACTGCTAGAATTTCTACAACTCATTCGAGCAAAACATTGAGGTATTTTAGTTAGAAAACATAAAAACACGATGCACCGCTTCGTTGGCATTGCTCCCCCACCTAAGAAACAAAAACATGAAGAAGGACACAAGGAATATGATTCGAACAAACGTGAACGTACTTTCCAAAATAAATGGTTGTCTTCTTTCTCCTGGTTTGAATGTCATACCAAAAAAAAAACCTAAAATGGATTGTAAGCTGTGTCGTAAACAAGACACAGCTGGTTCTTTCGTGACTAACTTTAAGTTAGAAGCTTTACGAGCACATGAAATTTCGAAATCCCACGTAAAACATTCCCTTGCCCTCAAAGCAAAACAAAGCGCAGTTAATTAGAACCTCGGAAGCTAAGAAAATCTTACAGAGTTTAGACAGGAATGTCTTCCACAGAATGTGTCACCTTTTCCGTAATGCCCACCACGCACTTGCTAAGCATTCCCGGCCTTCACGTAAGTTTAATTCGTAACAAAAACAGACCAGCTTCATACTACAAGGTTCAATAAAAATGAAAATATTCAAATAAAATAACAAAAAACAATGAAACAGAATGTAAAATCGTTTTAATATATTTTGTTTGTACACAAATTTAGTACTTTTGACACACTAAAAATAATATTGTATGGAGGTGAAAATAAGAACATAAAGGAGGGAGTGATGATCATCTGGTAAGTATTTAATGATTGCCTAATAAATCAATAATTGTCATCAACTAATTATATTGATAATATTATGATAAATAATTGAAATTAATGACATTATGATAAATAATTGAAATTGTAGAAATTATGATAAATAATTGAAATTGATGGAATTATGAAAATAAATTTACTTGTTAAATTTTTGACTTATGAACCTGTTTGTTTCTATAAAAATAAATGTATTTGGTTATTAACTTCGAAATTTGGAATGACACCCTGTAGGGAAAGGTCATGACTTTGTCACAATATCACTAAAAATGGTTTCAAATTCATAAACCTCTTCTTTTAATCATATTGATAATTAAAATACTTCTTTGTCTATATTGAAGTTCATGATATAAAACAAATTCTTCAAAAACTGTCAATCATTTTGTATGGACTTTGGCTGGCTCTACAAGCTTGACAAGATCAAAGGACTTGAAGTAGGAAGCACTTACATGAACGACAATGCTGCAAGCACGTTCGTTCATTTCATTGCTGCTACTCAGAAGGAGCTGACTTCAAAGGTGGGAAACAGTACCTTTTTTTTCTCACACACAGAAGCCGAGATAAAGGTTTCATGTCATGGACATTTTCTAGGTATTGTAACAACCTTGGGGTAGAGAAGCAAAGTTTGCCGTGATGTATGCAAACTGTATGTTATATTTTATTTTAATGGCAAGAATGTAGATGGGATTTTGTTAGCAATGCAATACAATAAATGATGATGATAGTGATCAAACACTACTCGGCTTATATATATAGATTTAATGACAAGGCTCAGTCTCCAAGGAAATAGTTATTTTGTTATTTCTACTCGAATATTTTGCAGAAATGATACTGTGTATGTAATATAGTTATCAAATTGATTGTAATTTGACTTAAAATATATATCTAGAAGCAGTTATGATGATAAATCTAAGTCAGTAGAGGTGCCAGGTAAAAATATGAGCAGGAGCTGCCTTTAATCAGACTTATTGTATCTAAATCGAGTGACCCGAATAAATCAAATGAATCGATTGCGAATGACCTAGGCCTAGACCAGTGATCGTATTTATAGGCATCATCAGGAGGTCATGTGACCTTTCTCAACCAATCAGAACACAGGTTTGATGGCATTCATACAAGAAACACTGCGTAGGCAGCGCCATTTCTAACACAAGTAAACAACTACTACTTGTCCTTATTTGTCCGAATACAATTAGGACACAGTAGAAATAATCAAGACATCGAGACAATTTGTTATAATTAAACGGACAATATCTTTCCGTCAACGTAGCGTCAGTGGCTGCCATCTTGGTTGGTGGTCGGCTCTATGACAAGTGAAATTTACAAAAGCATCAGTTTCCTTTATCATATGGTATTGTCCTTATGTGATATAAAGTGTCCGAAAACATCGAACATGGTGGACAAATGAGATTTGTGCTAACATGTGATATAACAAGAATAAGGACAACGATTATATAAATACTCAGGCCAAGCAGCGGGACGACATTTTGACAGACGTCAAATGTATGGTAAGGCCATTGATAACTTTGGCCCAGTGTAGCATGAATATGCCCTAGGGGCGGTTGGGTAGCCTAATGGTTAACGCGTTGGCTCGTCACGCCAAAGTCCCGGGTTCGAATCCCCACATGGGTACAATGTGTGAAGCCCATTTCTGGTGTCCCCCGCCGTGATGTTGCTGGAATATTGCTAAAAGCGGCGTAAAACCAAAATCAGTCAGTCAGTCAATATGCCCTGTATTCAGGAATTGATGTTGTCCTATATGTCCTTTAACAATTCGGACACTAACAAGATTGCTAAAATATTTGGTAAATGCAAACAGAGAAAACGGACAGCAGACTGTCAATTAATGCCTAGAATGATTGTCGGCAACAAATGTCAAAACGGAAGGACTGTCATATTGCAGGTACAAATGTAGGTAATACAGGAGGTTATACATTGTCCTCTATGTCTTAAGACAATGCATTTCTACCATAGAATGCAGGAAAATACCAGATAATGAATATGTGGCTTTGATATAAAAACGGACATCCAGTTTATAATTAGCCACTCAGCCTAACGTAATTGTTGACAGGTCACCGTAACCTGAGAAATGTCAAACAGATCAAATTCGTTATTCAGTGCAATCAAGTGTAAGTTTCATTAGTTTCCTTCATGGAATACACTTTAAAACACTTCTGAGCAAGAAAGGTATCAGAAAATCGTCATTAACAAGTGTAATAAGTCATTGTTTATCTGGGTCAAAAGTCAAACTTACTTTCTATAAATAGCCACGAAGCAGGAGTGTACACAAGAAATAGTCCCTGACAAACATCGGTGTTATCACTTAAAATACACAATGATTCAAGAGAGTGAATAAATATATCATTTGGAGAAATGAAATACATAATCCTGTACAATAATAGTACACAATGACATCAGTAGTAGAATATCCTTCATGGATGTAAATAGCGTAGTGACACACAGTGGTAATTAGGTCATGTCTGACAAGTGCTGCTACCGCGAACGTTCAGTGCTTGATAAAGCATAGCTATCAACAGTGAATATGCCCCCTTAAAGATGCCTCAGATCTGTGAACTCTGAACCAGGTAACTGTCTATGATGTTGTTAACTTATTATTTACTTTAATGTTAAAAATATGGATGGACATTTGCAGATAGATCGTGATATAACGAAAATAGGTGACACTTATGATTGACAAAGTTTACATAATGTTTTTAATATTTTTCACTACATTTATTTAGATTCTATTACAGTATTAAATTTGTTGGCATGGCTCATGCAGAGAACATTTCACAAATTTTGACTGTCGGTATGGGCAGCGATGGCGCCAGTGTTATGACAGGGAAGCTGTCTGGGGTTGTCAAGAGAATGGCCGACAGGGTTCAGCAACTCATCTTCGCAGTCCACTGCTCAGCTCACCAGCTCGAGTTAGCCTTCAAGGATGAATGTAAGGGGATCAAATATTACACCTAAGTTGAAAGCCTCCTTCTCAACTTGTACTACTTCTACAGGAACTGTTACGTTACATCAGTAACAGTAGTAGGTTACTCCTTTTGAACAGGATTTGTCACATTAGGTTGATGAAATTATCGCCCTTTGATTAAGTCCGTCAAAGGCATATTTTTTTTATACCGGTCTTATTTAACGTCAGGGGTTTAGAGTTATCGCGCTTGGCAAGCGAGAGGCTCCGGCCATGCTTTATGGGCAGTAAAATGGAAAATTAGGAAATAATAGGTCATCCGATTGCATCGGAACATATAGGACAACTAAGATGTAAGTACTCTTCATTTCTTACGTCTAGAGTATTGTTATTGTACATTTATGTACCTGTTAGGGCAATTATAGCGTAAATTAAAGTGATTTCATCTATCGGTAAAATAGCACAGGTTTGGTCACATGCTTTATCTACATATAGGCTCGATTGCATTAATTTCCGTACATTTAATTTGAATTTGTTGATTTTCACTCTGTAAAGTGTATCTGTCAGGAAAGATACATGTAGTTAATTAGTGTGTATGTTTTACCAAGGCTACAATGGAGATAAATTTGATGTAAAGGAACCCTTTGAACTTCGTCAACTTATGCTATTGTTAAAGGTTTGTAATTAGGATATATTTCACCTTTCAACCTGTATCAATTACTGTAGTCTTATTTCGTATATTATCCTATTTGCTTCATGTTATAAGGTACAGTTACTTTGAAATAGGACATAGGATTTATGGAACTCCATTGTAATTCAGGCCTTTGTTTTGTTTACAGCTTTTTACTATATGTAACTGATCAGTGTAATTCAATCCGAGGACTGAATACGACACTGACAAGCAGTTTGCGTGAAGTCATTACACCAGAGCGCAGACAGCACAGGAACAGTCCTCTTAACCGCCACAACTTGAAGGAAGCTTTCAAAGTGTTTGGTCGCAAGCCAGTAATGCCAACTCGAGTCGCTGGAACAAGATGGCTGCCGCACACTGTCCGGGCTCTAAAGAAACTTTTTCAATCATTTGGACCAATGGTGACACTCCTCAAACAAGTAAGTAAATTTTAGTATAGCTTTGCCTACAATCACCCTTTCAGCTGGGTTTTTTAGTGAAAGAAGACCACAAGGCACCTGCACGCACCTTTCCACCCACTTTAAATAATTAAATATCAACAAATACAACGTGGGTAATATTTTCGCGTAAGTACGGTAACAGCGGAACTCTTCAGCAAACTGAGACGCGAATATTCTGTTGTTTATAAATACACAGCGAGTGCCGATGACAGCTCGTCTGCTTTAACAAATATGGACGCAACAAGTAATTGTAAGAAAAGTCAACTGGACTGAGAGATATTTGTTTGTTGCAGAAGGGGTCGATCTGGACTGAGAACTCTGAGTGAAATAAAGAAAAAGTATCAAAATATCAAAGAGAAAGGTAAAATTTATATTCCGATACTTGAAATCTATTTCTTTTACAGCATACAATTTTTTTTAATTTGCATCTGACCAAAAACATTATGTAACATGAAACAGTAATTTAATATGTTACAATTAACTGATATGGAACTATCTATATTAATATTGCAAGCTAATGAATCACATGACACAACCTCATATCAGAATATATAGTTTGTTTAAAAATACAATTAATGATTTTACTGTTATTGATGACATCATGTTGAACATTCTCTGCTATGTACAATACTTGTGTACTTATTCCAACATGTTACGATTTCATAATGTATTTACATGAATGTATATTTGTTAGCCAAGGCAAAGAGAAGCTTATCCATGAGACCCCCAACAGGTGGTGGACCAAGAGCCAATTACCCATCTGTACCCGAGCAACTAGTGCTGGATAATTTGGAGGGGAGACCAAGTTTGTGTGGGGTGGATGGTGGGATTGACACTGACGGTAAATTTATTTATACAAGTTGTTCAAAATATACAGATATATATGTAAAAGGTCTGAAATGTAACATCACGAAAAGTAAATACCAATGGTTGAAGTTATTGAAAAACAGAAGCATAATATATAAATTAGCTTTAGGAAACAGTTGTAACTGTATATTGTAACTGATTGTGCAATCCCTGTCAACTATGAAGAGAAACATTTGCATAAAATGTGCTAATGATTTTCAAACATATGAACATATGTACACATAATTCCAAATATTCATTTTACATTTCTAATTATGATACACATGGAAGTGGTGCTTGGAACATCTTTAACTCAATAACATGTAATGCTTGTGTTCTATTTCTGATTACTAGAGTTGATATAACGATAGAAGAAGTTCATTTTGAAAGAATAAATAATGACTTTAGTATCTATTGTTTTCAGACTTCATGAACATCTCAGAAACTGCTGAAGCATCACATGATGGAACAACAACCACTGAAGTTGATCTGAACTCAGCTGATGATATGGCCTTCAGCATCACTGACATCACTGATCTGGACCCAACCTTGCTTTCAAATTCTTTTCTGGGGTCGACCAGCTGTACATGTGAAAGTGTCAACTGAAGAAGAAATACTAAAAAGAGGAACTAGAGGAAATTAAGGATTCTAGACAACTGATTAAAGAACAAATACGAGTAGCTAAACTGCAGCAAAATTTGACAATATTACAAATACGAAATATTGACCCAACATTCAGCTTCACAGAGTAATATTGCAACTTCAACTCTGAGTAATGATATGTTCTCACTAATGTTTTATACAAATTAACAACTTTCTTCTGATAGAAGACAACATGTTCCAGCTCAAAATAACACCGAAAGTTTGCAAAATATCATTACAGTTACAAGCACTGTTCTCAAACATTCAAACCATGTACTGGTATTATCAATTACTATGAATCAAATATCTGTTTGGGCAAATTTGAAATTCATTATTGAATGTCATCATCAAAACTGATACAGCAAAATATGTTTGTGCAAAGTTCACCATGAAGCCCTACAAAACAACAATCTTTATAAGTTATTAATTTCCCATATTGATGTATTGACAGAAATAAACATATCTTATATTGAACATATTAGAGGTAATTCCAAAACATGGTTTTAAACAATATTCAAAATTTAAGAAATAGAGATTGTTCCAAATACTCAATGCCATTTAGAAATTGGTGAACATATAATGTGTTATATTTGGGATTACACTTTCTCTCTAAAGTACAGATTATAGTAATTGTGTTTTGGTTGAGTCCCATCCAGAGATTAGAGGCCTTAATCGGAGGGTGTAGGTTCGAATCCTGGATGATACCAACAATAGTACTAGAATCTATACTCAACTGAGAAAGTGGAATCCCAAACATAACATGTGTTGCATAGAGATTGTTACAATTATTTGTAACCATATGAATAACAAATGGTCATAACTGTTGTAAAGTACCAATTGTAATTAAAAATTAATAATCCTGCAAATAAGGCAGCTGGAACCATCATTTACTGAATATTTTAAATGTCATGCCAACAGACATACTTCATCCCCACTTCTAAGTCTGTTTTTCACAGAATGGATAATCAAAATAGCTCTGGGCAACATGGTCTCTGAGACTGAAACCATCATTTCCCTGAAGCTGCTGCTGCTGCTGATCTGGACCCTGTACTGTCAATTCATCTACATCATTGATTACAATATCTTGTTTCTTGCAATTCCTATATTATGTAATATTCACAATTCCTATATTATACAGGCTCTGGTTGGATTGGTTCTCAGTCCAGTAGACAGACAAGGAAAGCGTCTTTTTAAAATGCCAAAGGTCTGTTCAATGAGTACACGTGTCTTGCAGAGAGAATAATTATACCTCTCTTTGTGCCTCAGATCGCCAGTATTGTGGTAGGGAGTCATCAGGTAGCGTCTGCATGGGTATCGAGAGTCCCCAAGCAGGAATCCATCATGAAGACTTGAAATACATATTCATATTCATTAGTCTTTAACATTTTGCATACTTATGACCTGATTCAACACTAAATACAGATGCTAATACTTATTAAACAAAATTAGTATTTCAGCTATGTCAAGGAAATATTTTGACAATGCTGATATTGTAAAGTAACTGATAACAAATTCAACATGGGTTACAGAACATATTGTAATGTTTCCTACAGGCTTCATGTTATATTTACTAGTTCACGATATGGGATATGTGACACAAATGATAGAGTGAAAGACGCTATGTATCTTGAAAACACAACCATGAATTAAATACCTGTCTGTATCAATGATGTGTATATATAAACCAAAATAGTTTTCTACAATGTTTATTATCTTTATCACTCTACATTGACCTACATGTGACATTTCAGTTTTTCGCACTATGTATTATCATCATATTTTCTGATATAAACAATAAATAAAGTTACTGACATATTGTATTTGGACCATCAGTTTAGCTGAAGTGAAATCAGTATATTTTAACAGAGGACGTCTGATGATCCTCCTTGCCCTCAAACCAGCATGTCTCAAACGATTCCTCACAGTTCCCAGAGAGATTCGTCGACCTGGTAACCACAGACGTAGCAGTTCGTTGCTTGACGCAAACGGCTGTCGGCGCACATGTCGTAATAGGGATCTGTCTTCACGCTGTGAGGGTCACTGGTGGTCTCCAGACCTGGCCGATCTTGGACTTCGTTTGTCTGCCTGTACTTTCTGACCAGCCTACTGATGACAGTGTAGTGGATGTTCAGCTGACGCTTTAAAATACATTCCACTTGAATGCATTCCGATAATTCGCCATCTTTGAGCTTCATTTATCTTCCCTCGAGCCATGATGACCAAATGTGACAATATTGATACCAGTGGTCGCGTTGGGCGATCTGGCTAAGGCGCCAGGCTAGTGATCGAGCAAGGTTGAGGTGCCGGGATCGAGCCCACCTGGGACAGGGTGTAAAAACCTTGGAGTCAACTTTGTGTGCAGACTCTTTCAGTGTTGTCACAGCCCCTAGTGTACAGTACACAAACCTGTGCACTTAAAACAACCCACGAATCCGTTGGTATATGACCAGATGGTGGCCACATGAATACGTGCAAACACCTAGTTGCGGGTACAGAAACGTACAGTAAGCTTGGACAAAGTACTGTGACTATGTGTCCCAGTCCACCCAAGTGTGAATGGGTACCTCGTTAGGATGAGAAAGCCACAATAACTCGGTGTGCTTAGTGGCAGCAAGAGTTGTATACTCCCCAGGGAGTTGAGATTGATAATACGATGTGCCGTTGAGATTGACATCCAATGATCGAGGGAAAAATACCAGCGCCTTGAGCATGCACTAGTTGCGTGGATATGTGCGCTATATAAAACATACTATAATAAAACATTAAAAAATACAGATATTGTGGGGCGAGGGCTAACTGCACTTTGTGGAAAGCGTGCGCTGTTGCGTTCACGTGCTGAAATGGTTGCGTTTTCGTGATTGACACGTAAACACTACTAAAACAGGTTCATCATCATCTATTCAAGCAGATATATTCTTAACAAACCATTTCATCACAGGATTGACGTGATGTCACTACTTCAATATGGGGGTGCTTAACTTTTTGTTTTATGTATATATTCGATGCAAAGGCGCGATATTCGATTAGGTAACATTATCAACTTTAGCTTATGAAAAATAACTAGTTACAATTCAGTAAGCTTCAAATTAGTAAGTTAAATTATGTCTTATCTATTCGAGCTTGGATGTATAATTATTTGTGTTTATACATTATGTTTCATTATATGAAATATGACAACGTAATAATACCTAAAATGTAAATTCAAACTATTCTATTGTGTTTGAATTCTTTGTATGTCCTTGAAATTTCGTATATTGTTTCCTATTTATAAGGAAGTTGAAGAAAATATAATCTTCAGTAACCTCTAAACATCAATCAATGTGCATACGAAATATTTTAGTATGAAGAATACCAGACACTTAACTCTGTAAAAACATCATAATCCCCTTTCTCGCTGACATGTGTTCATTTGCCAAACGCTGTAAAAGCCTATGATAATGATTAGCAATTGCTATCAAAACACGTTAAATACTTCTTCTAATTGACACTAAAGGTAGCATCTCTCGCAAGAAAAGCAATATTTGCTCAGTACTACTAAATTGGTTGAAATAATAGGTACAGTGCGATTTTTAAAAGTACAACACACATGTACGTCTCTCGCTGAATAAGAGGTGCTTTCTGTTGACGAATATATGTGGCTCTCGCTGCGAGACACTGCCAATTACCTGCCCCATAAACACGTCACTCGCTGTGAGGAGCTGATTAATTTGCCCCATATATGCAGCTCTCGGCCTTAATGAGTTAATCCAGAAATATTCGTGGTATAATAGTAGATAGATTATGTGAATCAAAACTATACTTTTAATCTAACATTATATATAATAGTAGATAGATTACATGAATCAAAACTATACTTTTTGAATAACTTTGGAGTAAAACATCATACACACATGTACCATATTATATGTATCTTCACACCAAATCGGCTATGAAATACCTCTGCAATAAGACATTTATAAAGTTTCTTCAAAATAATCTCAATAAAATGAAATGTTGAAATAAATGAACAGGAACATCTTTCACATATGAATAAATGACAAGGAGATGAAAATAAACTTTTAGTTTGTTCTCTTTGATATTAAAATGGAAATGCAGTCATACATGTATATCTTCAATTGTCACTTTAGATTTCACTTTGTCACAGTGGCTGAAGAAAGCAGGTTTTAGGTGTTCAGACATCAGTCTCCGCTTTCGTCTGTTTTTGCAAAGCCAACGGATGATCGCTGGACGTAGATCATAGGCTCTTGGGGAAGGGCCAAACATGCTACTTTTCAAGAGAATGCCAAGCTTTTCAGAACCCAAGGAAGACCTGAATTTTGTTTTCAAACGACTTTGCGAGATGAAACTTTTTTCACATTCGACACTAGTCAGTTGCATAACAAGAGCAATGCTCGCAATTTAGCGCAATTGGGCATCATGTCCTTATGCAAAAGAATAATTCTTTTGCCTAATTGCTCTGGTTGAAGTTTGGAGTATGACCCCTTTACCCTGCCTAGAAGTCTCGGCCACTCCTCCGCAAGCCTTTGTTGGTCAAGAAGGGGTTCTACTCTCTCCACATGTTTAGTTGTACCTTTAATCAAACCTCCCGCTGTCATCTTTGTTTCTTTTTCAGTTCCGTAAAGATCACCAAGATGAGGGACTGAATCCATTGCATCTTCTTCAGCTATTGAACAGACTGTGATGGGTTCAAATACTCGGCTCAGGTCTTCAAATATTTGTCTGTCATCATCTCTAAACCTGGACTTGATGTTGTTTTCTCTAGTTTCTTTACATAGTTTGTCTTCAGGGTTGTGATCTGCTCCTCCATAGATTGTGAAAAGGTTAGGTTTTCACCATTTATCTGGGCCTGCCGGTCAGTGGCATCCACCCGACTTGTCATGTCCTTCTCAGCCTCTCCTCCAATAATTACACTAATTTTGGCGAGAGTTCCTTTAAGTGGCTTTAACTCGCTAAAAAGAAGGTTCTGTTTTTGTAAGGCTGTGCTCAGTTTTGCCAGTTCAGAATGAATGCATGGTCCTTAGTTTGGTGATCTACCTCCAGTTGTTGGCGATCTATAGCCAGTTTTTATATTGTATTGTCCAAATAGTGCTATTAGTTTTAACTTTCCACA